TTGCATATGAAAAGCCCGCCTAAACTACAAAGTGAGATCTTGTCTAAAAACAAAAACAAACCAACCAACCAACCCCCAAGGGTTGTGAGTGTAGTTCAATAGCAGAACACTCGCCTAGTCTGTACAAAGTTGTGGACTAAATTTCCAGCCCTCGAAAAAAAATCTTACACTTTTAATTGATCAGATAATATTTTGAAAAACATGAATATATCTGAAATAGACTTCAGTGTCTGTAAAACTTTTATTGGGATACTCATTGAAGTACAATACAGTGATAGGGGCTGTAGGTTAAGACGGAGGCTGCACAGCCCACAAAGCCCAAAAATATTTAGTTCCTGGTCCTGTAGTATAAAGTTTGCAAGCCCTTGACTAATATTATAAAACTATACAATAATTGAACCATGACATCCATGATGGACCTCAACAAGAAAAATGTGTCTAACATAAAAATTAGCACCATATCACAAACACTGTCTGGACAATTTCTCTCCTCCAGGCTAGCCCAAAATATCCAGTTTTGAAAAAACTCTAGAAAATGCAGGCTGAATGGGCTGATTGCTAATTTTGTTAGAAGCCTATTTTAGGTGCAAAAGCAGCTTTCTCAATTTGTTGCAAATTATTTGAGACAAGTCTGAATGAAAGTAGATTTTTTAACAGAACAATAGGCCTACCTATAAATACTGGCAAGTCTCAGGGAATTGGAAAAGATTCCACGATGTTTGCTCAGGGCAACAGCCCACCAAGATCTACCTCAATTTCCCTGCCAACCACCTGGTGAGCCATAACTCCCACATACCCTGAGCCTGGCTCACTTCCTCCTCATCTCCAGGCCAAGGGAAGGACTATGCAAAGGTTTAAGGGCACTTGGTAGGGAACTCCCATTTGTACCTGATCACCAGCTGGTGGGTGACTATTACAGCAGACTAACAGAGAGAATTGGCTTCCCTGAACATGTTCCAGTGACTCCTTTGTTTTTAAGGCTATTTGTTTTGTTTTTCTGAGACAGAATCTCATGTAGACTAGTCAAGGCTGGCCTAAAACTCATTAGATAACATTGAACTTCTAATCCTCCTGTCCTCTACCTCCCAAGTGCTGGAAATATAGGATATACCCTTTTAAATGTCATTAGTTTCATAGTCCCCACTTAGAGAGGGGGAAACTGAGGCACTACACACTTCACCTACCTGCCCAAAGTCATGTGGCACAAATGGTAGCCTATAAGACAGTAGCCACATGAATACCACACTACATCATTTTCTCTCTCTCTCTCCAATACTAGGGACGGAACCGAAGCCTTTTGAAGACCAGTCCACTACCCTCCTACTGAGCTACCCCCTCAGCCTGTTCCCAGCACCTTCTGGTTACACACACACATCATGCCCCAAGAGCTTCAGGCTATTCTCTGAACAGATTACCACCTCAGCTTCCTTTGGTGGCCACACTCCTGCCACGGCCTCACCTGCCCAGGTCTGCTGCTGGGCCACTGCTCTGACCTCTAGGAAGAACATTACAGGTGAGACAGCAACCACAGCAGCTCATCGGGTGCCAGAAACAAACAGGCCCCTGAACTGAGACAAGACACAGACCTGGAAGTTTTTCCTGCCTTGCACAAACCTGACATCCGCTTCAGAAACCCCAGGGACCCAACCCCCACCAGGCGCCCCATGGTCACCCCAGTCACACACAGCCTCCAGCACAACAGTGTAAGGCCACCCACAAAGTGGGAGGGAGTCAGACCAGCCCCACCAACCTACAAGGTGCAGAGGGCAAATGGACCTCAAATGTAGCCACTAACTGAGGGTGCTTGAACACTGATGTGCCCACTGAGATGTGCCCACATCCTTTCCCTAAAACTTGCTGGTAAGACCTAATTTGTAGATGTGGTTAAGTCAGAGGTCCAAGATGGATGTCTTTATATTATGGCAATGGGCCCTGAATCTCATGACCAGCATCAATGACCATTAAAGAGAAAAAAGACAAACAACAACAACAACAACAACAAAACCAATAAAACACTAGCAAAACAAATTTTAGCAACCTGGTAAAAACATTATACATAATGACCAGGAGGAACTCACAGGATCCAAGGAAAATTCAAATTAGAAAATAGTTCAGTTTGGGGCTGGAGAGATGACTCAGTGGTTAAGAGAACTTCCTGCTTTCCCAGAGGACCCAAGTTCGGTTCCCAGCACCCACACTCACATCAGGTGGCTAACTACTTCCTGTAACTCCAAAAACAGGGGATCTGACCTCTTCTGGCCTCCATAGGTATCTGTACTCACGCTCCCCCCACCCCCCACGTGAATAAAAATAAAGAAGAACATTGGTCAGTGTAATAGACATATTAACAAGAGTTTTGAAAACAAACAAACATGATCATCTCAATAGGTACAGAACAACCCAATGACAAAATCCAGTATCTTAAATAGTCGACCAAAAAAAAAAAAAAAAATCCCAATTTAAAATTTAGAAAAAAAAGAAAAATGAAATATTAAGGTTCCTAGAAATCAAAACAATTTTGACAAGTCAGAGTGCATGGGGACTCTGTGTGTGGTGTGGTGTGTGTGTGTGCATGTGTGTGGTGTGTGTGTGTGTTACTGGTGACTGAACTTAGGCCTTTACACATCCCAGACAAGTACTCCACCACCAAGCTACATGCCCAGCACCCCACACTTCTTGCCTTTAAAACTTACTGCCACCGGGCGGTGGTGGCGCACTCATTTAATCCCAGCACTAGGGAGGCAGAGGAAGGCGATCTCTGTGAGTTCGAGGCCAGCCTGGGTACAGAGAGAGTTCCAGGACAGCCAAGGCTACACAGAGAAACCCTGTCTCGAAAAACAAAAACAAAAACAAACAAACAAAAAAAAACCTTACTGCCAATCTGGGTACACACCTGCAATCCAAGGGGCAGAAAGATCAGCATTCAACTTCATCCTTTGCTACATAGCAAGTTGGAGGCCAGCCTTGGCTGCATGAGACCTTGTCTCAAAGGAATAAAAAACAAAACAAAAACCTTACTGCAAGGTTACAGTAACCATATCAGTCACTTGATGCTCAGACCAATGAGCAGTGAGTGAGACTGGTCACCACTTTCCAGATAAGAACCAGGTAAGGGAGAAGGGGTGTGTTTTGCCTCATGGTTTGACAAGGCAGAGTCCACCATGTGGGGTAGGGCACGGTAATGGGTGGCTCCATGGTGGCAGGACTATGTGACAACTTGCTCCTACCTTGGTAAACCAGGGAACAGAGAGCTCATACTAGAACCTGGTGAGCCATAATGCTCTAGTCCCACTTAAGCTTCTAGGAACAGTGTCCAAAATGTTTCAAAACCTCCTCCAAACAGCACTACCAGCTATGGACCAAGTCTTCAAACACTTGAGCCTATGGTTGGCATTTCATATGCAAACCATGACAAACAGAAAGTCCAGAAACAAATCTTTTCATATACATGAAAATACTTTTTTTTTCATATACATGAAAAATCAAGCATGACAAGACCTTTATCAGGGAAAGGAGAATTTTTTCCCTAGTTCGAGAAAAAGTTATTCCAGACATGAAATACAGGAGCTGCTGGGTGGTGGTGGTGGTGGTGGTGGTGGTGGTGGTG